GAGACTTCCTATCACTGCCTGGCAGACCAGTATCATAATGTCCTTTCTGACATGAAACTCCCTGAGCATTCACAGCGAAGAAGCGTGTACTGCGGATTTGTGAAGACGGTTTTCCACTCTAGAAGGAGCGGTCTGGTCAGTCTCAGTGTCTTGACATTTAAAAAAATGGACAGGTGCTCCACCTTTAGGACGTGGCTTTTAATGGGCACAGACAGTGGGCGTAGCAATATGATCTCTTCTTCTGTGCGCAAGTCTAAATCTGTTAACCTCAAACTCACAGGATGAGTCGGATGTACCTTTTGCACTTACGCCCTTTATTCTTAACATATTGTTATTTAAAGCTTTGAAAAAAAACTCATTTTTTTTTCAAACTCATTGTAAAAGTAACAAAAAAGGTGGAACATCTTGTTTGTCCATTTGAGTCCTGTATCTTAATGCTGATTAATATAGAAACAGATTTCCACAGATCATATGTCAGACGTGCGTGTTTGCAAGTACTTTGTTGCGCACATGTAACAGGATAGAGAGGGTAAAGAGGTATTTTTGTGTGTGCATCTAACGCATCTTTTATTCATGTCACCGTGACTTGCAGGAGCCATCTTGAAATTACATCTTTAATGGTCATTGATCCGCAGCACCCCGGGGAGCTGGATAGTATAAATGTAGTCCCAACGCAGACTTTTTTATGTATTGTGCAAAGCTGTCTAACACTGCCCAAGCAGCTGAAAAGTGTATTTTTTTCTTTTAACTGCAAAACTTCTTTAAATTTTTGAACTTGATTCATAGTGGGATGTTCACAGTGTTCACATTTTTTCCTCTTTCCCTTCACCTCTTCAACCCCATTCGAATGTTCGAATAGTGAGTAGCACCAAATTCTGGCCAATTAACCATAAATGAATACAGTCAGTAGTATTTGAGTGATAGTGTAGCAAAATGTGAGGTCACAATGACCTTAAATAGTGTTCAGACCTTGTCCTTCACTAACAAGTTTGACAACTGAATAGGGATGCGACTGCAAACGAATTTGAATCAAATCTCTGTGTTTTTTCCCCTTAAGCCCCCTTGGAATAGAGCTATTGCGTTACATGATGGAGCAATAACCTCTACAGTTTAGGTCAGAGAGTATGATAATGCTAGTCTGATAGAGAACATCCCCACCCTTATTTGAAATAAATATTCATTTCATCTCTGCCTTGCTTGGTCTCCACACAGCTCCCCCTGGTTCAGCGGTGTGTAAACAACTTCTACATGTGGTGATATTGGAAGAGGTCTCTCTGGGTTATGGTGTGTAACTGAGATAGAAATATATCATTACTGGGTGGGGACTGAGGGGATCTGAGGGACAAAGAGACTGAGAAATAAGAATATTGGATTCTGTTCCACACACACAAGCTTATGTCCTTACATGCACGCTGTCTGCTCCATCTGTCTGTTTTGCTCATGCAGGCGCGCACGTATACAAAGATGTACACACCCACATTTAGCATAGGGTGTCTGTTAACTGCATGCGAATGGGTGATGGACTGCTCCAGTGGCTCTGCCAGTAATATAATCTTCTCTATTCCCCCAGATCCCACACCAATATGTCACAATTGTCATTTATTCCCAGCATGGTCGCTCACAATCAGATGGCTTTTCACATTGAACACACCCTGATCCTGTCAGGATGATGAACACTTGAAGTGCACTCCAATCCACCTACACGTGCATAGATACATCGTGTATTAACACATGCTGTTTTGTATTTGCTTGCTTTTAGGTGCTTTTTTTCTTTTTAGTCTGTTATTTTGGAGGACATCCCAGACCACCAGCCATCAGATGCATACTATTGGTTTCATTTCATTTTAACCATTTAAATGCAACCCCGTTTCTTTATATATATATATATATATATATATAAAAGGAAATAAATATATTGTAATGTTTTGTGAATGGCAGCAGCCGTTCAGTGTCTTATATAACAAGGTGTCATATATAACAAGTTAGACCGACTGGGTCCATTCACACCTTCTTATTTGTACAAGAAATGGTCCAGTTAGTGGCAGACATGCTTTAGTGATTGACAAAGCAGAACTAAATATGTAAATGTGCCTGTGTCAATCATATTGTTGAGCGCTGGCTTTTCCCTGAACCAAACATGTTCTGAATATGTCTGATAAATAAATTGCAGAAAGCAACTACACTGCAGGCATCTAATTAAAAAACCGAAAACAAAAAAAGACAACCATGCCGTTTAAACTAAAAAGTTGAACTTGGAACACTTTTTATGTTATCTTTACAAAACACAACATTTTCAAAACATTGAAATCGGTCAGCTTTTTATGAAACAGTTCTTTATGGACCGACACGTACTTGTCAAGGAAGACAGATTATTATAAGGGATCCATGTTTTTTCCCCTTTGAGACCAGCACTCTTCAAAGTTTTCTATTTACTATTCATGAATTTGTTTGGTTAGAGGTGACTTTTTCAGGTGTTGGTAAATCGCTTTGCTCAGATCCAGTGTGCGAGATTAACAAAGCTCGTTTTAGGAGAGACCTCGTTCTGAGCATTTCCGAACAAAAGTGATGACACAGATTCAATCTCATCATCAAAGTAATTAAAATGAAAGATAAACATGATATCTGCTTAAAACTGTGTAGAAAACCAGCATTGATTTAGTCTTATCTGAGAGCATGTCTGCACCATAGAAAATCCTAAAGCCAGATAGCAGTCTGAGCTGTCTGGACTTAAACACGGGTGGAAAGGGTGTAGTGGCAGAAACTCAGGGAGCTTTTCAGTAAATTCAGCGTAGGCCAAACATCCTTTGGGATTGAAATTCTTGACGAGTCGAACTGCGGGTCTGACAACAAATTTCTAATCTGACATTTATATTTTGTCTCAAGGTTCTGCTTTATAAACGGCGGCTCCGAGGCACATTTTAGAAACAACTACATCAAACAATATATTGTTATACAGTTATTAAAGCATTGAAATAAAGACAGCGGTTGCCCATGTTCAGCAGCAAATTATAGCATCTGACCTTAATGAGAGAGCATATCCTCTTGAGATTTTCTCTACTTTAAGCCACAGAGGATATCACTGACTACCTGTTTCTGTGGTAAATTAAAAGAACATAATGTCCTGGCTAGCAGTGCCTTACAGGGAGCTCTTCTCTCAGTAGTTGGCCACTGGGAGTAGCAATAATCACCCGTAGAGACACAATAAGCCTGCAAGGAAAAAATACTCAGCCTGCTAATTAGTTTGTAATCTGTTATATGCTATATGCTTGTTCTTTGGAAGGGGAACAAAAGAAATACTAAGTGCAGTGGGTAAAATTACAAAAGAGTAAAAAGAAAAAACCCAACAACAACATTAATTGAAAGAATGTGATTTTACTTTAAATGTTTATGTTAAATATTACAATAATTAAAGAAGTTAGCATGCTCTGCACTTTACCAGGTGATCTATAAGGTGTCTCAGCAGAAGCAGAAGCATCTATTGATAAAGTAATTTTAAAAAATACACATAAAGAAAAAACATCCCATTTAGTTACAAGAAGAAATATGTGCCAGAGACATGACAGACATAACTAATTTAGTCTGCGACAGCCGAAATAAAAGTATTAAAATGCCGAGTTAATAAGACAAAAAATTATCTTTGCATTGGCAAAAAAACATTTTATGTGCTTTATTAATCCTTTGTATTAGGAGGGAAATTAATGTTGGGGAGTTTCTGTCTCGCGCATCCCAAATCCTTCTCATAAAGCCTATTCTGCTACATTTAATTGGGTATTCAGAATGTGTAACACCTGCCTGCTTGTTATTCTTATTAGGTTTCAGTGATCTGTTGGGTTATACAAAGATTTTGACAGCGTCTTCCTAGAAATTTGCATTGTTTTCTGGCAGTTAAAAAGTCAATGTGTGATTTTCAATCCAATTCAGCAGTCATTTAAATTAGAAAAAGGGCAATTTGCATTTTGATATCTGACTTTAATCTGCCTTCTGAATCAACAGAGAAACCTTTGTAAGAGTTCTTCAGCTGTGATGATCTGTGACAGTCTGTCCAACTGGGTTATATACTTTATTTGATACACAACTGCATCTGTTCCTCCTCTCCCTGAAAAACTTTATTTCATCATTTCATGTCCAAATCTCTTTTATCAGTTTTCTCTCTCCTCTCCCCTCCTTCCTTCTCTCTCCCCCTCTCGCTGTCTCGTTCAATTACAAAGCGGACGGTTCATCAAGTAGAACAGAGCGGGAGCAGGGTGGAAATGAGGTATGTAGTCCAGTCAGTGAGATTTAGAACAGCCCTCTAATAACAAGGGAGGTTAATGTATCGGTCTCAGGCCAGAGGACACATGCTGAATCTGCTCTATTAGAAACAACTTGTTCGGAACAAGAATACACTGTAGAGACATCCAAAGCGACAGTTTTATGGCAATAGTTTTTTGAAAAAGAAAATACCAATTTTAAATCCATTGTGAAATACAAATGAGTACTTTCTGCCACATTTCTGCTCCGTTTGTTTATCACAAAGCACAATCACGAGCCATTGTGAAATGTGATAGCCAATATTTTTTGTATCTGACAACACAGCGAGATGGCTTTCCAAAGAGATCACTGTGGGGCTAACTGGGGAGTATTAAAATATCAGTAAATCAGCAGATACCAATTACAGAAAGTGATGCTATTAGAGCACAGCTAATAGGTACGGAATACAAAGAAAGTAACAAAATAGTTTCATTTATAAAAAAGTAACATTTTGTTTTACTTTAATTTACAGAGAACAGCCTAAATTTTAGATTTTATAAAATAAGTTGATCATGTTTTAAAATAACAGAATCTTTGAACAAAAGCGAATGAATCATCAGCCTGTTTTTGGTGACTACAAAAGCAAACGTGCTTTTTTTATTCACCAACTCTGATTGGCATTTTTAGAATTGCTTGCATGATGGCATGTTTTCTAGCCACAGTACCCATAGATGTGATGCATGTGTAAACACAGGTATGACGTTACACACCTTTGACCTCCTTTTCATTCCTGAACCAGCGCAGGTCAGCGGCGGGCTTGCTGCCCTGGGTGATGCAGGTCAAAGTGATGTGGTCTCCCTCCATGGCGGGCTTTGTCAGGCCATCGATCTCTGGCTTCTCTGGCACACCTGAAGGATGGAAAACGGAGATCACAGCGATGGCAGAACTAATTCATGCGCAGCAGGGTGTCATTATACAACAATAATATTAGTATGCCTTATTGGAAATCACCCGCCCCCCTAGCTTTCCCACCTGCAGGGAGATTAGAGAGCAGACTACAGAGATTCACCAAGCAGCGACATGCTCGACGGTACATCACAGAAGATTCGTGCTGGCACATGGGTGGGTGGATTTTTTTTTTCTAACCACTGGGTCATTCCCTGCTTCACTGCTAGGTCAAACCAAATTATAAGAGACATAATTTTTCACCATTAGTTTTGTTTCTTTGGTTTTTCCAGGTCATAAAACACTGACTCTGCTGCAAAACAAATACAATGAGGCAGGGAGGAATTTTGTTTTTGATGCTCACAGAATTATAAAATACATAAAAACACATCATTGTGCAATCAAAGAACAATTCCACAGTTTTTCCTGTGGTTTTTATTCACTACTACACTTCCCTTGAAAACATAAAACCCCAAATATCATCACATCAATCAAAGGAAAAACTGTAGGCTGACAAATAGTATGCTTTGTATGTCTGTGTGTGACAAGGCTGTGACCACAGACAAGGCCATTACTATTTACAGAAAATGTTAATCACTGGCCTTTCCCATAATGAGTGTTTTAAATGTGTGGTGTCTGCCCTTCCACTGTCAATGAGCAATAAGTCTGCCTCCGGCTGAGTGACTGAAAGTTCTGTCAGTCAATGCCATTGACTGACTCTTGCCTTGTCCGTCTCACCACCTCCTGTAAGGTTTATTGCCACAGTTTAAAGGTCCTCCTGTTTTATGTTTCCCATTTGTTTGAAGGCGCAAACTGCATACGTAATCCCAACAACAGCCGCTGCTCGGCAGAGGCACAATTTAGCGATAAGCATGTGTTAATATTATACATGTGATTTTTAATGCGCCTGTTTTTTTTTTTTATGCAAATTGCTTAGTTTTGAAGTATCTAAAGTAAGAGTGCCACAACAGCTAAGAACGGTGGTGTGCGAATAAGTGCGTGTGGGTTGACTCAGAAAAGTATTTGATGGATTTTCCTCCAGACTGAATAAAAGCAGATCAAGTGCATTGTTCATCGTGTACAGTCACGTTCCCCTTGGGTGGCTATAGGCTGTACAGCTTTACACCCTCTCTCTATAAAGCTGAGTTTTGAACACGCAGAAAAGAGCTCAATTTCTGATACATGGAAAATAGGGAAATTGGATTTCACTGTTTCCACAAATTTCTGTGGTGGTGTGTGATTACTGTGCTTACTATGCTGATCAACACATAAATATATATGCATTTCCTTTAAGCGTTTGAGAATTAAGGTCGATCATAAGGTATTTAGAGCTAAAGGTAATATCTTTTACTGATAACATTTGCATACTTACTGATCGAATACTAAGCACATCAAGTCATGCATCAGCATTAGCCGTATTAGCGGCAATGCTAGCAGCTAACGATGCATCCCATAGTTAAGCTCCAGAAATAGTCTGTTGGTAAACCTGCTACTTTGATGACTCAGACTTAAGAAAGATTACCAGGCATTAATGTGCCAGTATTGATGGCCCTTGGTGGATGAATTCCTGATTATTCAGAGCTCTTACTTTTACTTTACCTTCAGGAGTTTCACATTTTTTAGAGAAATGTCTCAACTACTATAGGATGGATTGCTATGAAATTTATTACAGACATTTATTTTACCTGTAGGCTGAACTCTATCTCAAAATATCTGTAACATCTAGAGTGCCATCAGGTAAAAGGTTGAACACTACTATCCTTAATGACATTCTCATCAGCTTTACACACTGGCAACAGATGAGCACATATTTTTGTTCCAGCACCAAATCATTTGAATGCGAAGCTTTTATATTTGTAGTATTACAGTTTTTTTTTTCCAAAATCGTTTTCAGTGTTTTCTTTTATTCGTCCCCAGTGCTTATGGTCCCAAAGCAGTGGCAGATAAACCAGGCCATCCCCAGACTATTTGGTGTGTTTATTAAATCACCCTCTCTGTTTTCTAGCTTGCACCATTAACTATTGTTCAAAACTGCAAAATGATTTTCTCCATATTCTTATTGAGCAGTAGCCTTTAATGTCTAATTCTCAGAATGCTTGTTAACACAGAGAGCCAGCTAATGATCCTGGAGTGCATAAGCACATCTATTAAGATTAGCAAAAACTAATTGGCAAGATAATAAGCCCAGTGGCAAGAAATGAGACAATGTTTGTGTGAGGCCATGATCACAACACAAACACTGCTAAGGGGAGGGAGGTACTAACAGTGTACACTATTTTTTATCTGCATTTGCAGGCATAAGCAACAGGCTATTTCTAACAACATAGCATCATAGCAAACCAATAAGCTGATAGCCTCAAAAAAGAAAAGCAAGGCTCCAGTAAGGCTGCAAAATCTAGCTATGCTGTATTACTAGTAATTCCGAATCTTCTGAAATCAACAAATTCCCAAAATAATGACATAGATATTGCTATACTCGACAATTTCACTATTTTGATTTTGTGAATTATAATAATTATATATGTTTATATAAAGATTTCAAATGGGGAGTCAGATTTGCAAATTATTTCCAAACGACTATTACTGGATTTGAAAAGCTCCTGAGACTCAGTGAAAAAGAAAGTCCATTTGGAGCATTTTGTATCTTCAGCAACCTCACGAGCAGAAATGGATATACAGCCACTCGAGACATCTGAGTAAGGTATGCAATTTCTTTTTTGCTTTTTTTCGTCTTTTTCTCACTAATCGACAATTTCTGCTTGAGGTAATAGGAAACCTAAACGGTATGTGTTGCATTTGGAAGCCGTTTTTTAAAATTTTTTAAAACACTGTTCAGAGTTAAAAAAAAAGTATATATATTATTTTTTAGCCATGGCAAATGAGAGAGAGAGGAAAAACATGTACTTAGATCACTTTACTACAGATTTTACACACATTATAGCTGCTATAACGTCCATCTATGAAATTTTCCTTTGAGGTGGAGTTTTTGCTTTTGCTTTGGATCTTGTACTCACCCAGAACAGTCAGATAAGCTTTGGCCGTTCTGACAGGCATGGTGAAGAGAGAACAGGTGTACATGCCTTCATCAGACAGCGTGACATCACTGATGCTGATGGTCAACTCTGATGATGTTGCACGCACAAGCTCGATTCTGTTGTCCCTTAGAGCTGGAAACACAGATAACCAGAGGCAGATAGTTAGAAAAATGTTCAAATAACTGTAAACTAGCAGCTGTGGGAGAAACTTGTGGACTTCTACAGTGCGGTGACAGGTACAGGGTTTAAGGCTGTAATATTTGAACGGTGGTTCTTATAATGCATCAGTGTTGATGTCCATATAGGGAATAAACTGCATCCACAGATAGAGAGAAAGAGAGTTTAAAAAGCACGCAGAGAGAGATTAACCAATCTAGAATCATTTCATGTGGAAAAAAAACAAACAAGAAAAAAATATTTGCCTGTTATTTGGTTCTAAACATTTTCTTTGTTCTGAAAAAAACGACAGCAGAAGCCCTAAAGTTTCGATATCTGCTCTCGGTATTAATTAATGCATATCCTAGATGGACTTCTCTGTAAAATCATCTATCAGTACCAATGAAATTGATTTTCTTCCATTAGTTTTAAAAATGAATGCATCAGCAAACCACCGCATTAAACTATACCACACAGCCTTCACTGCTGTAAACCACTGCAGACATTTACTTATATGAAAATGTAATCTTCCAAAAGACATAACCGAATGCAGTGGGGATCAATATTGCAATAAAAGGCAGAGAGTGAGGCTTAATGAGAATTTGGCAAGATGTGCAAGTAGAAATAGATTTGCTGTGATTGAATGGCGAGTTTAAAGATACAAGAGGGCTCTTCAAACTAGACTTCACGTCTATGATAGGACGGGAGCGTGCGCTAAAATAAAAAAAAAATGTAATAAAATTCGTCGACACCTTGGAAATAGCAGTCGAAAAACTACACACTAATTTGCAATTAAAAAAAAGGCTGTGTGAACTATAAAGTGTGCAGAAATTTCTTTCCTGCTGTTTCTGTGGCCTTGGCTGTCGGGAAGATTTAGTCAAGCCTTCCTTTTGCTAGTATAATGCCTTTCTACAAACCTTATTTAATATGAGCAGCCAAGGCTACTTTGCTTTTAATCTCCATGAAAGTGACTCAGAACTCGCCTTGTTCAAGTACAGTGTGTGCGCATGTGTGACTTAGTATGGTTGGATTGAAGGAAAGAACAGAAAGATAGCATGACTATTTCTGTACAGATGTTTACATTTTCTTTCATGTCAGCTTTTGAAAGCGTATTTGTATCTTATGATCATTTTAAAAAACACTCTGGGTTTTGTTGCCTCTCTAGACAGGGTTGAAAAGCAAAAGCTATTACACAGTCTGTTTGAGGAGTACTTTAGTCTGGCTGGCAGAATTATGAGAAATGATACCCAAGGTATCTAATACATCAATTATAACATCGTAAAGCGTTAAGCTTTTCAGCCCTTCTTCAAACTCCAATCCAAACTTTAATTAATTTTTATATACTACGCAATACTAGGTGAAACATCTTTTAAATGTAAGGGAAAAATATACATTGTATCTTGTTATATTCCTGCAGCTAGACCATCAGATGTAATTTTACTAGAGATGGATGCAATTTCCCTGCGATAGACTGGTGACCTATGATAGCTGGGATAGGCTCAAGCCCTCCCCTGCTATCCTGTAAACATGTAAGTGGTTAAGAAAATGGATGGATGTAATTTCCCAGTCACTTGAATTTATTAATGGAGTAATACATAATTAGATATTTTTAATAGGCACCTTAATAAGGCTAAGATATAGATCAGGCCTCATTTCAAATTCTTTGAAAGAAGCCGGCGCTCTCTTTGTATTTAACTGGTTCAGCTGGCGTCTTATTGCACAGCTGGATAGTTGCACTCTTTACAGTTCATCAATATGTTACTCTTTTTGCTGCTGGGCATCCAAGCATGAAAACATGAGATGTAAGAAATAATTGTACTGCCTCACACTACTGGCCCAGTAGACAACGGTACTGGGGTTATTGTAAATCTGAATTGAAAAGATTTCATGTAGAACCAAAATGAACCTGGACCAAACAATTCTTCTGGGAATTTTCAGAATACGTGTAACAAAGAACAGAGGAACTGGGCCAGATAATTGCTCATAACTTTGGAAAGTCTAATGGTAATAATCTATGTGTTGCAAAACATTTTTTTCAAACCGTACACTATTATAATTTTGGGGATTTACGTGTAGTTTTTCCCGTGACAGTACTCGTGAAAAATTTGCTCATCTTCTATTCTCATTAAAACTTTGTGAAGCAGAAGGCATTCAGTGTTGCACAGGTAATAATCTATACGTAGTGGAAACTGTACCTTTGTAAATGTCAGACAGTGGCACATTTCTAGCCTTTCTAGGTGCATTATTTTGGAAGCTTCTATGTGTGCATGCTGTGATCACAGAGCTGAAAAATAAAGAGAAATGTCAGTGAGCAATGCTGTGTCATTTGGTCTGCAAAGACATGAAGGCTTTGCTTTGTGGGTTCCAGGCTAAACATCTACCGTCGATGGCGAAAGTGTTGTAATCGGTTTGGCTAAACGACAGCTGCTCTGTCTCATTTATTATTGCATTTGTTCTGTCCTTTCCCGTTCTTCACAACACCGGTTATCGCTACACGTTGTGTACAGAGCCTGAGCAGACATGACAAGTTGATATGAGCACATGACATATCTGTAGGCTCCAGTGTAGTGACAGTACACCGCTGTTTCTGTGAGTGTCTGTATGAGTTCACATGCCCGTTAATGCAAGACCACAGAATTAGTTTCAGTCTAATACGCTGCCAGTTCAGCTGATGGTTAAAGCTCTCCTGAACAGATAGGATTCCTGTCGCGTGTCATCAAACTACACAAACAAATGCATAGACTTTGTCCCAACAAATAAAATAAGGCAAATATGGATTAAATCCAGACAAAAACTGCTCTTTGTCTCTGTTTATCTATCTTTCTGTCAGTCTCTCAGTTTCTCTCTTTCCACCCACCCTAAGACCTCATTCTGTCTACTCAGGCAGATCCACTAACCTGTGAATGTGTAAAAGTTAAACAATGCTTCAGTTCAACTGTTGTCTTATTTGCTTTGGGCAAGGAAGTACGAGCAGGCAAATGTCAGGAAATACATTTACTGTAGCTGGCTCGCTTGCTGTCGCGATACAACTCTACCTTCATCCTGTCCTCTCTTCGAAATCCCACTCTAAGATTTGATTTGAGAGAGAATGAGGGGCATGACGAGTTCATTGGAAAGCATCTAGACTTTTCTGATTTGCTGGTTTACTTAAGCAAAGTAATGAGAATGATATGACTTGCTGTGATGACATTACATTTATAATAAATGCGATTAATTGTAAAGTGACTCAGCTGTAACAAAACTTGATTGAATCAGTGGGAAAATCCTGTCAATCACCTCCTGATAAAGAAATGGAGAAAAACGATTAAATACTCCTCGAATACTGAATTTATATGATTCTTATTATTCAATACATAATCCGGATTTTGTAATCCAGTCATGTGTTCCTCCAGTAGTTTCCTCCAGTAGTTACAGGCAAAGATCAGGATAGATTTGATGCCAAAAAGCAGGATCATCCTGAGCCCCCTGGAAGGAGGGGATTCAGGCTGGGTTTGGAAACATGAAAGCTGTTATATATAGCCATGAAATCACAACATAGCTGTTAAGGATACTGCTAACAGTAAAAATACCCTTAGATTTCAGTCCCACTTCCATAATCAGACCAATTGATCAGCAAGTTACAAATAAAGTCTGTCTTATCTAGAAATGTAGTAAGGTGTATATGTTTTTGGACAATGATTCCATTTATTTTTGTAATTTTAGCATTGTACACCAATACAATGGACTGTAAATCAAATAATCAACGTAAAGATTTTCATATTTAATCAAGGGGAGTTTAACAAAAGTTTAAAGAATAAAATAATGAAAGTTTAAATTAATTTAAAGTAATTAAAGTTTAAAAAAAGGTTGTAAACAAAACTAAATTCACTGTTTAAGAATTAAAGCCACTTTTATACCAGTGCCCAAAAACAATTAATCAAAAGAGACATCTAACTGGCAAGTCATTGTCATGGTCAGGCCTGTTCTTAGGTTATTTTTTTACTTGTACTCTCAATATGAGGTTCAAACACATGTTTATGTAAATGAGAGAGGCTGTCATTAGGCTGAAAATCCAAAACAAAGAGATCAATAATCAGGTACATTTTAAGAAGAAGAAGAAGAAGGAATGTGCAGGCTGATCAGCAACACTAAACATCCTGAAAGACAGCAGAAGACAGCTACAATGAATCATTGCACAGTTTCCAAAACCCACTCATATGATCTAACTAAGTTAAGAACGATCTCAGGCTGAGGTAGCCACATCATTGTCTACAATCCAGTGATGCTTTCACGCGGAGGATTTACAGCAAAAGAAAAATCACTGGTAACGCACATGAACAGAATGGCCAGATTTGAATTTTCCTAAACAAAACAGTTCTAAAAAGATTAGGACAGAAGAAACGAAAATGAACTTGTAGCGGAATGACGGCATATCACCTCATCTGTCAAACACGGTGAAGGCAATGTTATGGCATGAACATGTATGGCTGTAAGTGGAAGTGTTACAGTGTCACTAGTGTTTTGACTGCTGACAGATGAAACAGGATGCATTTGGAGGTTTACAGAGGGCTATACTCTCTGCTCAGATTCAGCCAAATACTCCAAAACGTCACTATCCATTATGCACTTTACCATGCACAGCCATAATGACCTAAACCTTTGAGAAACCAAAAAGTTTCTCAAAGAATAGAAATGGAATATTCCTCAAAGACGAAGTCATCTGATCTCAGCCCAACAGAGCATGCTTTTCAGTTATTGAAGAAAAAAAAATACACGCAGGCAGCATTAAAGGCCTGTAAGTGAATTTGAGGAAACGACATTTGTTGACGTCCATGGGTTCTGGACTTCAAGTTTTCACTGGTTGCAAAGCATTTCAACACAAGTGTTAAACACAAACCATTTAAAATAATGTTAGTTTGTCCAATGACCTCCTGAAAAGGCTGTTTATAACAATGACTTTAATTCCTAAAGAGTTAATACTTTTAGTATTATCTGAA